GTGGCTCCTGGAAGGGGTGACCTGAGTCACCCTAAGCAGAGGCCCTGTCCCCACCCCCAGACCTCCAGCCTTGCTGCCAGCTCTGCCCAGCTCTCCTGCCCCCAACATGTCCACCCGGGGCCACTCCTCTGACCGGCGCCCACCGTGCGTGGAAGCCTGTAATTTCCGAGGGCTGAGTCACTGCCGGCGGCTGGAGCGGGTCCGCTGCCGTGGGCCCCGGGCGGCCTGGAAGGGAGCTTCGGGCTGCACCCTGCAGTTAGCAGCCAGGGACCTGCTTCCGGGAGCCTTGCCTGCGAATCCTTAAAACAGTCCACACCGGAGTCACCACTGTGCCGCCCCCGCCCCGCCCCCTTTCCCAGAGCTGACTCCTTTCCTGCAGTCTTTGCATCCGTGACTGCACCCTCTTCACGTGTGTGAACCCCTCAGCGACACAGCGCTACGTGGGGCTTGCTGTCCCGGCCCCCCTGCCGTCCCCTCTGCCGTCTGATGTCATGTTTTCTAGCTGCCGCGCGGGCCGACGCGGGTTTCACCGTCCCCTTCTCTCTGTTGGTTCCGAAGCCGCAGGGTGCAGCCCTGGGCAGGCGATGAAATACAGATCCGTAACCAGACACTGTCATCACCAAGTTGGAAGCCCGTCAGGATGCCGCCCGCCTTCCGCGGAACCTAACGCCCCTCAGGCTGTTGCTGTTGTTAGAATCCCGGTCTCTCCGTCACACTCGAGGTTACCTGTTCGTGCAGCCGGTGCTAAGGAGTCCGCCCGCATGGCTGCGCAGTTCTCGGGGGACAGTTGTGTTCCAGTGGCCGTGGAGACTCCTGCCCAGGCCAGTCTGCTTTGTGGCCCGGTCTCTCCGTCACACACGAGGTTACCTGTTCGTGCAGCCGGTGGTAAGGAGTCCGCCCGCGTTTCTGTGTGCACCTTGTTCCCACGCCCTCCCTCCCCTCCTGGGCTGGCTTTCTCCGCGCGGTGTTCACCCTTTCGGGGGGAGCCTTTCGGGGATGGCTT